TCCCGTGATCCCCAACAGCTGCCAGGCCCCTGCTTATGCCCTGCCCTACCACACAAATTGCAGACCAACGCCTGTACATATCACAGAGCAGCAAGATATAGGGACTCGACCTCCTTTCTTTCCAGCTACAATTCGTCCCGTGAACCCACCCCGCTTTTCGATCGGAGGAAATCTCGGACGAGTGGTTTTAGGCCCTTAGTTTCGCATTTCTGAAAGGTAGATTCCAAAATTTTACCAGGCCACCCTTTCGCCCCCAATGCACACGGAAAATTATCCCACCAATAAAAGCCACCACCACAGGCACTCCAGTCCCGCCTGTCTCCAACTTTTCTCTTTTTTGACCGGGACTTTCCCAATCGGCAATCCTCGGCTGACTCCGCTCCGCTCCATTCAAACCTCGGATGTGATTGGTGGAGGAATACGCAACAGATCCTTACATTTCTCCGCCGGAAACTGCCTTATCACTCATTTCAAATTTCGCTCTGCATAACGTTCTTCGAAAATGTTTCTTAATTTATGCAATTCTTTATCGTAAACAGGTTTTGATTACATCCTCATGTTAACAGGCTTTGAAAGCAAGAAAAAACTGTTGAGTGTGCCACAAAATAACTCCGATTTCAAATGTATGACATTTGAAAGAAATTCAAATAAGATCACATGACTGAATCAGCAAGATGGTAGATCACCGTTGACGTCCGAGGTTATGTGCGAGGTACGAGTCATCCGAGGAACTCCGAGTGGGACTTTCCTGCGAAACTAACAGCTTCGCTTTAAAACAGCCAGCAAGGCGTGCCACTTTGTTTCGCTCTTCAATTGGATATATCCAGAAATTGAAACCCCCCCCCCCTTCCATTTCCTTTTCAATCATTTATTACTTTAAAAAAAAAAAAAAAAAAAAAAGCAAAATAAGAAAGACTAACACTTTATCTGACTTACTGCATTCTTTTCAGGCATTTTATATGTCTCTGGTCAACTACTAGAGTTATCTTTCGTGGCCCAAATCGTCACGATCAGCGGAGGCAGCCGAGGATTGCTGAATGAAAGCGTTACGAAGAGAAAAAAAATAGTTCCCCATTCCGAGCTTGATAAGGCACTTTAAAAGTTCTTTTTCATACAATTTTTTTATGATTATCAACAAAATAAGAAGTCCCCAACATGTTGCGGTCAGTCACCGAGCTCCTCGGCTTGCTATAATTTAGCTCGTACCACGATTTCGAGCGTGGCGGAATAAGCCGAAGATTGCCGATTGTTTAACATGCAGGAGGACATTGACTGACGTTGAGTATGCCCCCTATTTCAGAAAATTGTAAGCTTCCCGTTTCCAAGAAGAAAGTATGAATTTACCATGTAAGTCTACAAAGTTTGAAAAGCAATAATTTAGGAGCTACAAACTTGGAGGCTTGGTATTATTAGTCAAACTATGTTTTTTGTACTTTCGTTTTAATTTGCTGAAGGTGTCCTCGAACAAGGAAGTTAAATTATCTTGTTCTTTTGTTGTGTTGGCAAACTCGTTTGTAGAGGTGGAGCTTTTCATTTTTGAAGAAGTAAGTATGATATACATGTACACACGTATAAGAAAAGGTTGCGTTGACTGATTAAATATGTTTGTGGACCTCCAGAGACATAAATAACAGTTCAGAAAGTGCTGAATCAAAGGACAACTTATACATGTTATATGCCTGTTGTGGCTTCAGCAGAACTAGGTAACTGGAGATATTTTACATCCGCGTTCGGATCTTACTAGTTAGAGGGGTGGGAAGGGGTGTTTAAAGAAACCCTTTTTAGAGGGGCCGAGAAACCCGACAGAGAAAGGAAAAAAGCCAAAATAAATATGGAAATTACAATCCATACAATTTTATAGCCACTTTTTAAATAACAACATGACTTTGAAAATAAAGAACAAAATTAGGCCTAGTGAAGGTCCAATCAAGACACATGCAGTGCCTGCATGAGCACAGGTGCTTGTGGAGACTTGCATACAGGCATCACCAAACATATACATTATTAACATGATTAAATTAAAACATACCACTTAATAGGATAAATTGTAGATACAGGGTGTCCCAAAACATATGTTACACTTTTAATCATCTATAACTTTATCAAACCACAAGCATTCACAAAGATATTTCATCAACGTCTAGTGTATTAGCATACATTTTACGTGACAAACTTTCATGAAATTCTGTTAAAAATTCAGGTAATTATGATGTCCAAATGACGTCATCATATTTTTTATATGGAACCTTCATGTGATCAGCTGATAGAAATTGCCAAACTTTAAAGCTGAACATGATTCGTAAAAGTATTGTGTCCGCCATTTTAGTTCTCGAGACTCGCTACCCTGCAGACCCCTATGAATAGGGCATTTTGAGTTATTTTTGAAAATAACTTAAATGTTTAAGTTATGCCCCTAACTGTTCCGTTAATCGCAAGACGTTCCGACTGATTAACTGGTTAATCGCATTAAATTACACATTTTCTAATTTTCTTGACTTTTATTCAAATATTTCTATCCATTTACACAAAAATGGTGAAAATGACGGAAGTTTAAAAAATATAAGGGTTAATATGTTCTGGCTTTGTTTTACAGATATGAAGGGATGTGCTGTGCAGCTGTTACGAGGATGAAAATATGGCTACCTCACTGGTTTTGATGTTTCTTCAGCATGCAAATCTTCATCAATAATCAGGCTAAAAAAATAATAGTAAATTTATTTAGATCTAAAATCCGTTGTTGATTCACATGTTCTGTTGACATGGGTAAAAACTTTCATTTGAATTAAGATATTTTATCGATTAAATAAAATTTGGTAATTAAAACCTACTATATGTTTACATATGTACTTTCGTTAGAATAATAAATAATATGTAATTGTCCTTTGTTTTCTCAGCCAAGAAAAAGAAACAAGATAAACGGAAACCGTGCAGTTTTTCCTTGTTTTACCAGATACAAGAAATCTGTGTGGTATGTGCTTTTTTCTGTTCTTTTTTGCTCACCTAAGTTGAATGCTGATCAAATTTTGTCTATAGTCCGTCTGTCTAGCTGTCTCTCTGGCCATCTGTAAACTTTTCAGATTTTCAATTTCTCTAGAACCCATGGACCAATTTCAACCAAACTATCTACAAAGCATTCTTAGGTGAAGGAGATTCACTTTTATTCAAGTGAAGGGGAGATAATTTAGAAAAACAGTGAAAATTTGGTAGCATGTTTTAAAATTCCTCTTCGCAAGAGCAACTGGGCATAGAAATATAAACTTTTACGAAACCTTCTTTAAGTGATGTAGATTCAACTTTGTTCAGATCAATACCAGGAAGAGCGCTGGGCCAAAATGGGGGTAAAAATTGGCATAAGAATATGCAAGAAAAAATGTTTTATAACCTTATTCTTAAGAACAACAAAGAAATGATTATCTAGCCATATTGATGTAGAAGCATCCTCAAGTAGTGTAGATTCAGATTTATTCAAATTATTGTTTATGGAGTTAAGTTTGGGGCCACAGTAGTGGATCAAAGATTACATGGCATAATATAGGAAAAAAACTTTCAAATTCTTCTCAAGAACAATAAAGCCTCTTCTAGTTGTATTGCATATTGATACAGAAGCCTTTATTTCTCAGATAGTGTAAGTTCAAGTTTATTCAAATTAAGACTTTCAGGGGTAGGATGAGGCCACAGTAGGGGATCAAAGTCCTACATAGGGCCAGGCATACATATCAAAAACAACAACTTTAACAATCTTCTTCTCAAGTAAAAAGCAAAGCCATGTTTACTCATATTGATATTAGAACATCCTAAGGAAGTGTAGATTCAGATTTCTTCTTTAAAATGATGACCCCCAGTTGGGATCCAGGTTAGAATAGGTCCTCAGTACCCCCTTTCTTGTCATAAAAGGCGACTTAATGGGGCGGTCCTTCGGATGAGACCATATAAACCGAGGCCCCCTGTCACAGCAGGTTTGGCAAGATAAAGATCCCTCCCTGCTCAAAGGCCGTAAGTGCCGAGCATAGACCTAAATATGCAGCCCTTCACCGACAATGGTGACGTCTCCAAATCAGTGAAATATTCTGGAGAGGGACGTTAAACAGTATACAATCAATCAATCAATCAAATGATGATTTCTGGGGGGTATTATTATTATTTTTGAAGATAATTTGTCAAAAATTCTCTTTACATGTCTCATGTAATACTGTTTGCTTTTTAAATTTGGAAGATTTTTTTTTATATCAAGTATATAATTTTAAGTTTATTTATGATACATGTATTAAGGAAGTCCAGATTTATAAAAATATTTTAGTTTTGGTGAATTAACTGAACTCTAACTTGAGTACAAAAGTTATCAGTAATATTAAAGTATTTATCTAATCACATGAAGGTTACACTGGTTAACTCTACCTGTACCCCTAAGAGGGCCTCTTAATTGAGTGTGATAATTAAATAATTTTATAATGAGTAGACGTTCAGGGAATAAACCGGGTGAGGCCACTTTGGAGCATCAAATTTTTACACATGAGAATATAGGAAAAAATATACTCATGATCAACAAAGTGTTGCTTTTATAGTCACATTGATATTGAAGGATGCTCAGGAAGTGAAAATTATGTTTGTGTAAATCATAACCCCCTGGGGTGAGGAGGGCCCCAAAAGGGAATCAAAATTTTACAAAGGTAAATATAAGAATTTTTTTTTATTTCTTCTCAAGAACAGCAAAGCCATTACAATGTTGATATGGAAATATATTCAGAAAGTGAAAAAAATCAAGTCCGCCTCCACCCCAGCCCATGTAAGAACTGATTTCTGCTTATTCCTAGACAATGTTCTCAGGTGAGCAATGTGGCCCATGGGCCTCTTGATTATATGTCACAACAAACTTTTGATCATGGCTATCTGTAGGGCTAATCATTTCAGAAAATGTATAATTTATATTTATACATACCTAAATATATAGTTTTATTCCATTGAATAATTTGTAAATATTGATTTGTTAGACAGGTTATATTGTGAACACTTGGAGGCTGCTATCTATTGAGACATCAAAAGGACTCAGTTCCCAATAGAAAGGTATTTGATATGATTATGTGTATTTTGATACTTTTAAGTTTTTCAGTTTCTTAAATCGAGAACATTGATACACAAGGCCATCTTTAAAAACTGTTTGGTTGCCTTGTCTCAACGATTTAGTAACTAAAACAGCCCAAATAAAAACTTTTTTGATTTCACATTTGCAGGTGTTTTCGAATAAAGAAAAGAATTTGGTCCTTATCTGCCTACCCTGTTTTTTATCCCCAGTGAGGAGAGGGCAAGCAAACATATTTTGTAAGGATGGCCTGATCTTAATAATACATGTAAGTAATAATAAACTTATAAAGAGAGGCGTATTCATATAATAAGTAGTAATAAATTTATATTGAATAATTATTTCGCTTTATATAATACATGTATATATTCAAACTACTGAACAAATTGGGCAAGATGCATACAATATCTGTAAACACCATGTTATTGATGTAGAAAATTCTAGAACAGTGTTGTAATTTACAGAGAGATCTCCCTGACTGAAATCCACACAGGATTATAAAGTCACAGGAAATACAAGTCTGGTGTCAGTGATGTTTAAATACGTGTTCCAGAAATCTGTCAGAGTGCCAGGTGTTAGGGAGTTTAAACACATTACCCACGTGTCAACAGACCGGGTCTGGATCTGTGATTATAGAGGCAATCTCATCTTAACTAACACGACAGGAGACACACTAGATCATGTGACAGATTTAAGTGTATCTGGTTATGGAGTACATACAGTGTCTCGGGATAGTGCTTTTATTTATATAGACAGTCACCATAACATCATTAAACTGTCTACAAAAAAAGTAAAGACCACAGTGATACCATACAACACATCACCATGGAGACCACTGTGTGTCTACAGCTCCCCCTCCACTGGAGACCTGCTGGTCGGGACGTATAATACTGATACAGATACAGGCCAGGTAAACCGTTACACCAACACAGGAGAACACATACAGACCATACAGCACGACAACACAGGTCAGGGACTGTATAGTAAACCTATCTTTATCACAGAGAACCGCAATGGAGATGTTATTGTGTCTGACTTTTGGCGTGGTGCTGTAGTGGTGACAGACAGAAGAGGGAGACATCGCTTCTCCTACACAGGTCCTCCATCAGGATCACTACTACAGCCACGTGGAATCTGTACTGACGCACTGTCACACATCCTGCTGTGTGAGTATAACATCCACACAGTACATATGATTGACCAGAATGGTCTCTTTCTGACACAGTTTGAGAGAGAACAACACGGGATATTCACACCATGGAGCCTAAGTTATGATTGTGATACACAGCTTCTCTGGGTAGGATCATTCACCAACAACACAGTAAACATTTACAGACTTATTAATGAAGGGGACAATCTGACTGGTGAGTAATACTATTGTATCATTGTGTGTTTTGTTTACATGTATAGGTATTAGGTAACTATGTTTTGTGTACAATGCTACATCTACCATTATCTACAAACATTTAATTATTTAGGAAGACACATTCACTGTTGTATGTGTTATATTAAACAAAACATTTAAAATGATAAGTCTGTTTACATTACATCTTTCATTGAATTATAATTTGCCACAATAAATAGCAAGAAATATTTTTAAGATGAGGATGATATAAATTATAAATTGTACTTTAACTAATACTTTATGGTAGAATACTTTTACATGTTTTAAAAGAGTTTGACAAAGCAGTGATTTCTAGAAAGAAAAAAATGTTTGAATCATGTTAATACATGTAAATGTTTATCAACTTGTAAAACATCCTCTGGAATTAATTAATTTCTCACGTGTGTAGAGCTTAATCAAGTGTATAGATATTACTTAAACATATAAACAATTGTCTCTGTAGTCATGGTAGTTGACTCTTTGTTTTAATAAGTAGACTGGACAAAGAGAGATAACTCTAAATAAACAACACTGTGTTTTTTGACATAAATTGACAATGCATATTGTTTAAAATGCTAATTTAATGGATTAAAAAAACAAAAGAAAAATGTATACATATAATGTTTTTATTTACCATATAAAATATAGGGGTTATGAAAAAATATGGTTATATATGAATTGTTTTTTGTATTTAACATTTTTAAATTTTAATGTAGAAAATCATGTAGGATGAAACAGGGGACCAGGCTAATTAAAATCTATATGTAAATGGGTGTAGAGTGGGTGGGTGTGGGTTATAGAGATTTGAAAATAAGTTTTTGTAGTTGATCTTCTTTAAACAAAACATTAGTTGTAAATTAAAAGGTTCTTTCTGATAAAATTAACAAGGTCAAAAGGTTACTGTGTGGAGGCCAGGTGTGCATGAATGTGTAACTAAGGAGGCAATACTTATTACCAGTGGACTCCTTCCTTACATGAGCAGAGGGTAACATCTTATATTTTAAGCTTCTTCTTTGGAACTAAAGAACCAGTTTCAACCGACTCTGACATATAGCAGTTACTAGTAAAGGGAAACCGAAATTGTAAATTTTCATCCTCCCAGTGGCCTTCTCTCGTGTCTGAGGGCACTTCTCTAAAGGTCATATTGTAAAAATACATCAATTCGAAAACGAATTGAAAATTTTCCACTCTCCTTTTAGAAATTTAACTGATGAACTACATAGAAAAAGTGAGTTCAGTGTTCTTTTGATGAAATAGGGGGAGGGGCTCTATTGATTAAACATTTTAACATGTTTAAATATAGAAAACATTATTTCTTAGAAAAAAATCTCTTCTCTGCTCTTAGATAGTAAGGAAATGAATTAAGAGTTTAGTAAAGATAAAGGGTGGATTTCTTCTTTCAAAATTATGTATTTCAAGGCCTCTTTAAATGGAATTCTAGTGTTGAGGGTTAAGATGTTTTGAATCTACAGTGAAAATGTTTTATTATGTTTTATTTCCTTGAAAATATTTTACTCTGCTAAAAAGTACAGTGTTATAAAGCAGGGCTATATTTAACAGACTTGTGAAATTCTTGACCCATTTTGTAAAAAAGTTTGGTTCTAGGGCTGAATTAATATGTGAGTTATTTCCCTTTGCTATTCACTTAGCAACATAGATTCATGTTTTTTTATACCACCGCAAACGAAGTTTAGGGGGGTAAATTGGAATCACCATGTCCGTCTGTCTGTCCATCCATCTGTAGACAAGATTTTGTCTGGACTGTTTCTCAAAAACTGTTTTATGGATTTGTCAGAAAATTTATACACTTATTATTCACCATATGAAGGTGTGCACCGGGTATTTTCATAATTATTGGCTGATTTTTCTGCATTTTACAGGCATTTTTTCTTTTTTATTTTGTGATTTTGTTTGGCTCATAACTAGAAAACTGTTAGACTTACAATCATCAAACTTGGACAATTTATGCATCTTCGGAATAAGGTGTGTCACGACCTATTTCAAGGTCAAGTTGACCTTTAATTTATGTGATTTAAAAAAAAAATAGTAAGTCTTTAAAATTCTAGATTTTACAATCCTAAAAAAATGTAGAAATATAGTTGTATCCTTATTAAAAAATACTAAATTAAGTAAAAACGTATTTTTCCATCATATACTTTACAGCAAATTCTGTAACAAATGTTAAATGTTTTGAGAGGAATTCAGTTTGTCCCATGGGCATAATTATCAAGCACTGGTCAAGGAGAATTTTGATAGGAGAAATGTGCATGTCAAATTAGAGAGAAATAAATGAGTTCATTGTTGGGAGTTAAATGGCAAGAGCATCTCTAGATCTGATCATGCAGTGTTGTCTTAATTTATCTCTTGGGAGTTGGGCAAAAAGAAATGGCCTTAAAGTTGCTTGTGTTAATTACCTGCTAAGAGTTCTTGATGGCTGTAGTCCAGGTAAAGATCTTTCAATTGGTGTAATTTAATTAAAACAAATTGATATCTTAGTGTATGATTAAAACTGAATCAGTATTGTATAATATAATCAAAATTAATTAGGGCCCCGCTCGGCGGGCGCCCTATAGTGATCAGGCTGTCCGTCTGTCCGTCCGTCCGTCAGTCCGTCCGAGATCTCTTGTCCGGAGCATATCTTCTCTCTCCTTGGCCCAATCTGGCTCATACTTCACCCACAGAGTGCCCTTGGGTACGCAGTGTGCAGTAACCTTGAACCATGTTTCTAGGTCAAAGGTCAAGGTCATAGCAGAATTGTATGAAAAATCCTTGTCCGGATCATATCTTCTCTCCCCTTGGCCCAATCTGGCTCATACTTCACCCACAGAGTTCCCTTGGGTATCCAGTGTGCAGTGATCTTGAACCATGTTTCTAGGTCAAAGGTCAAGGACATAGCAGAATTGTATGAAAAATCCTTGTCTGGAGCATATCTTCTCTCTCCTTGGCCCAATCTGGCTCATACTTCACCCAAAGATTGCCCTTGGGTAACCGGTGTGCAGTGACCTTGAACCATGTTTCTAGGTCAAAGGTCAAGGCCATAGCAGAATTGTATGAAAAATCCTTGTCCGGATCATATCTTCTCTCTCCTTGGCCCTATCTAGCTCATACTTCACCCACAAAGTGCCCTTGGATAACCGGTGTGCAGTGACCTTGAACAATGTTTCTAGGTCAAAGGTCAAGGTCATAGCAGAATTATATGAAAATCCTTGTCTGGAGCATATTTCTAAAAGTTATTTTATTGTATTTTTTCAGGGAGTAGTTACTTTTTATGCGCCTGGATCGATAGATCCGAGGTGTATATTGTTTTTGTCCTGTCTGTCTGTCTGTCTGTCTGTCTGTCTGTCCGTCTGTCTGTCTGTCTGTCTGTCTGTCTGTCTGTCTGTCTGTTTGTTTGTCCCCAAACTTTAACCTTCGCCATAACTTTTGAACAATGAAAGATAGAGACTTAATATTTGATATGCATACTCCACTAATTAAGCTCTTTCAAATGACACCAAGGTCAATGACCTTGTGACCTTGACTGTGGCCTATATGCTAAAAATAGTTTTTTTTCTGCAAAATTTAACCTTTGCCATAACTTTTGAGCCATAAAAGATAGAGACTTCATATTTAGTATGCATATTCTACTAATCAAGTTCTTTGAAATGACACCAAGGTCAATGACCTTGGGACTTTGACTGTGACCTATATGCTAAAAATAGCTTTTTTTCGAACTTTGTTGCTGCCGGGCGCATAGTGTTTCACAAACACATCTTGTTTTCCCTTTTAATCTCAAACATCTTCAAAATTAATCCTTTTCAGCTACCTTACATTTTCATGTTCATTCCTAAAAGCGGGGCCCTTTGAGATGGCCACCATCTCAATGATATCTAGTTATACATGTGTTCATTGAAAAAAAAATTACATTTCAATTTTTATATATTTGCAACAAATTGCAGTCTTGTCTCACTTAGAATTTTATAGTCTAAAGAATAATTAATTTTTTGATTTTTTTTATTAGACTGTAGCATTTCCATTATTTAATAAAATATGTAATAAACAATTTAAAGCTGCAGATGGATTTTTGTTAAGCTCTAACACAGCCAGTTTAGAACTATATGATGTATTATTTGTTTTAAATAATCCCTACATGTAAGGCTCTTAGAGATGTAATATGTACAATATTTTAAACATTTTAAGAAATGGAAATTAGATCATTGAAATCTGTGTCAATCTGTTAATCAAGGTTACTTGATTTTCTTGCACCCTAACCAATTTATGATTATTGAACAATATTTGACGGGCGTATCATGCTGTGGCGGGGCACTTTATTAGATAATAGTGAACACATCTTACTAGATCCATAAAATATTTCTGAATTGGCATCTACTCTGAAAAACCCAGCGGGGGTATTTGTCTCTATTGGACAGTTCTAGTTTTATTTTGTTTTATTATATTTTTTTTATCCTGACAGTGCTATACTATACTCAGATAACTGTTAAGGCCCTTGGACCTTTTGGGTTTTATTCTGTGTTCATCAAATGAAAGAAAAAATGTGATCTGCGTGTTCTGGTAATTCTATTTATTCTTTTATGTTTTAGATAAAGTTGATGAGTTAAAGATGTTCTTGAGAAAGGAGAAGACAACTGTTTCCCATGCCAGAGGAATACTTGTTGGGTGTGCTGAGGCTGGAAAAACAACGCTACTGAAGCGATTAAGAGGGCAAAGTCAGAATGCTGGTGAAGTTACAGAGTCCACTAGGGGGCTGGAAGTCCATCAACATCTCTTCATTGTTAAAGATGGAATTTTAGAAGGTAACTGATACACATACACAGGACATATAGACAGATAGAAGGTAACTGATACACATACACAGGACATATAGACAGATAGAAGGTAACTGATACACATACACAGGACATATAGACATTTTTTTTTGCTGTTTTACAGATTTTAAATTTTAGCTCTTCTGAGCTGAGCCCAAGACCTAAAGAAAACATACTCTGCCACCGTCTCCCAAAAAGATTTTGAGATAAGTTATTTTTTCAATGCAGTTTACATAATATATGCAAAAATTGATATGTGCGATGGTGGAAGTTTTACATATTAGATATATATAGGAAAAATCTTCGAAAATCTTCTTCTCAAGAAACACTGGGCCAGAAGAGCTGAAACTTTGTGGAAGCATCCTGGGGTAGTGTAGATTCTAAATTGTTCAAATCTTGACCCCCTAGGGTAGGACAGGGCCACAATGGGGAATCAAAGTTTTACATAGAAATATATAGTAAAAATCTTTGAAAATCTTCTTCTCAAGAACCACTGGGCCAGAAAAGCTGAAACTTATGTGGAAGCATCCTGGGGTAGTGTAGATTCTACATTGTTCAAATCAAGACCCTCGGTGGTAGGGCGGGGCCACAATGGGGAATCAAAGTTTTACATAGAAATATACAGGAAAAATCTTTCAAAATCTTCTTCTCAAGAAACACTTGGCCAGAAAAGCTGAAACTTGTGTGGAAGCATCCGGGGTAGAGTAGATTCTAAATTGTTCAAATCTTGACCCCCTAGGGTAGGGCGGGGCCACAATAGGGAATCAAAGTTTTACATTGAAATATATAGGAAAAATCTTTGAAAATCTTCTCAAGAACCACTGGGCTAGAAAAGCTGAAACTTATGTTGAACCATCCTTGGGTAGTGTAGATTCTAAATTGTTCAAATCATGACCCCAAGGGGGAGGGCGGGGCCACAATGGGGAATCAAAACTTTACCTAGAAATATATGGAAAATTCTTTGAAAATTGTCTTCTCAAGAACCACTTGGCCAGAAAAGCTGAAATTTATGTGCACATCGAAGCATCCTGGGGTATTGTAGATTTCAGTGGGGTAGGGTGAGGTCGCATTATGTATTACAAGGGGGAAATCTGGTAGAGAACAGAATGGTCAAAGCTTCTCAGGTAAGCGATGTGGCCCATGGGCCTCTTGTATTTATTTATAAATTTTTGTGTTTTGTATTGTAAAGAAAAAGAAGTATCATTCAATGTTCTTAAATTAATACGAGGTTTTAAGCATCTGATATATATATTTATTTTTTTACATATCTGAGAGTTTAGCGCACATATACATGTGTAGCGGTGGCAGACACATATTATGTTGACACAGTTTACATGAATTAATGCAGTGAGCTATTATGCATTTACAATGTATTAACTTAAAGATTTCTTCTCACGAAATTGATTTTCTTGAAGTATATAGTTCATAATAGATCTGCCATGTTAATTAAATTCATTAATTTTGTTTTAGCCGATTTCTTTTATCCATTCCCTCGACCGGTATCATACATCTACATGTATTTCCCCATAATATTTTAAAATTTAATTGCGATTTTTGAATACACGGCAGATTGTAAGTTTAAACATTAAATACAAATATTTCATTTATTGCGTAAATCTCTCCAATAAATTAACTAGGTACTTGTAGATAAAAATATATAAAATAATAAAATATGCATTTTTTCATTAATAATATATCTATTTACAGAGTTTCAACAATTTAAAACACTACACATCAATGGAATTTTTGTGCAACCGTTGCCAAAATATATGTAATTAAACGATTCATAGTTCAAACTTAATATGAGAATTTTGTCATTTACACAAATAATTGGAAAGTTCCACCATTGAGTAGAAATAAGAAAAATAGTAACATTCTCCATCTCATAACAATTCATTAAATCATTGTCAAAAATAAAAAAAAAAACAATTTATGAGGTAATAAAACAATCATTTTTTGGTCTTATCAAAAAACGTTCGCTTTTTGTATCAATCTTATCAGGTTTTGCGTTTATCCTATCGTGAAGATCATTCATCAGGTCTATCATGTTTTGCGTTTATCGTGTTTTGCGTGTATCGTGTTTTGCGTTTATCTTGTTTTGCGTGTATCCTATCGTATTGTGCTTGTATCCTATCGTATCGTGCGAGCATCCTATCGTATCTTGCGTGTATCCTATTGTATTGTGCGTGTATCCTATCGTATCATGTATCCTGTAAAGAATAACGATGCGGATACTGTAACAGTAACCTGATCCAAAGAGTCGTATTACGTCTCGTTGACAGGCATGGATCATCAGATCAAACTCGATGCCTCTCGTCTTGTTTGATCTAATGATCCGCGCCTGTCAACTCAACGTTATATGACTCTCTGGATCAAGTTACTGTTATAATATACAATTACTGACTTTTGATGAGGTCTACTCGTGACTATACAGACCTGGTCAGGTATTGGTTGACCGAGGCCGAAGGCCGAGGTTAACCAATACCTGACCAGGTCTGTATAGTCACGAGTAGACCGAATTCAAAAGTCAATAACCGTTTTATTAAATGATGAGGAATTTTACAACACTGCTGACTCGTTCATTCTTGTCTCCATCAAATATAAACATCCATAATGTAAAGTGTAATTACACTTTTAACATGTTGATATACTTCAACAGCTAAACAAATATTAGTTAAAAAGTTAAAAACAATATTAATAAACAATAAATACTCAACCATTTACTTTTAAAAATTCGTAATCTCCTTGGTAATGGCGTCTGACATGTTTACATTCACACCGACACATGCTTTGAAATACGCAATCTGATTGGTAGAAAAAGCTGTAAGCAAATCTATGGTTGGTCGAGAGGGAAAACCCGAATAAACCTCCCAGAACATCATTTGAGGTGAGCTCACTCTGAGGTACACACCAGTACATGGCGTCTAGACCAATCAGAGAGCACCAAAATTCCTTATCATTTAATAATAATATATATGTACCAGTCTATATTCAATATTATTTATTATGCCCCCCTCCGAAGAAGGGAGGGCATATTGCTTTGCTGCTGTCTGTCGATCCACTTAGTTTCTGTTAAGTTTATTCGCAACCGTTGCACTTACTGAAATGAAATTTCGTATACAGATATGTCACATAAATACCTAGGTCAAGTTCTCTTTTGGTTAGTTCGATCTCACTTTTTTTGTCAGAGTTATGCCCCTTAGACTTAGAAAATTTCCAATTACTTGCAGTTTCCATTCATTTTCTTCACAACCGTTGTACATACTGAAATGAAATTTGGTATACAGATTTATCAGATTAATATCTAGGACAAGTTCTTTTTTGGGTACAATCATGCTATTTTTGACAGAGTTATGCACTTTTGGACTTGGAAAAATTTCAATTTTGGGGGAGGGAGGCATAAGTGTTTTACAAACATCTCTTGTTTAAAAGATATCATATGCATTGAAAGAATGCGAATATGATAAAATTATCTGTAATAGTTTGTAATGTTATTTAGTATTTCTAGAGTACATGTTCTTATCATATAGGATAATTAAATCATTTACATGTATAACTATTAACAGTAGCTGATGATGATTCACCATTGAAGACATTTATCAGGATAAATGCCACAGACGTGAAGCCAAACATGAGCGGTGCAGTTGACCTCTCCAATCCAATTGAAAATAAAGATAATTTGGAACCGAAAGGTCCTGATAAAGAGAGGGGGGAAACCATACTCTATAGCCGAGAAGAAGAGAAAGTTGAGTTGTCTAGCCCTCCAACTAAACGCAAAAAAGTAGAAAATTCAGTAGAGGTAATGGCCCGTGATCTCTCCTCAGAAGCACAGAAAATGGTGAAGGATGAAATTTTTCAGAAAATCTTGTCTGAAAAAGAGAACTTACCAACTGTCAGCATGCTGGATTTTGCTGGTCAGTTAGCGTATTATGCCTGTCACCAAATTTACGTAACACCAAAGGCCTTCTTTATTCTTGTGTTGGACATGACTAAGAAGTTTGAAGATCTTGTCAATAAAGAGAAAGATAATCAAGAAGGATCAATCTTCTCTGTGTGGACTTACAAAGGTAATTATTATGTGATATGATGCCTATGTCTGGCTTGCAGTCATTTATATGAAAAGTTAAGGTATAAAGTATTAGACAGGTCTGTAAAGTTAAAAAAACATACGTATATACAAATGTTGATATATAAGCATGATAAGAACATTGAAGAAGAGGACTCTTTGAGAAACCAATCAACACTGAAAAGTTCGATGAAGGTCTAACCCAAGTCTCTCACCCATGAAAAAAGAATTTTTTTTTGGAATTGATGGATCGATGGACTGCTGCATACTATTGTTTTTGTCCTGTTTGTCTGTCTGTTTATTTGTTTGTCTGTCAGTTGTCTGTTTGCAACCTTAACCTTCAACATAACTTTTAAACCATGTAAAGAAGAGACTTCATATTTGGTATGCATACTTCAGTAATTGATCTCTTTCTTGTGACACCAAGGTCAATGACATTGTGACCTTGACTGTGACCTTTATGCTATAAATAGCTTTTTCGAACTTTCGCCATAACTTTTGATTCATAGAAAATAGAGACTTTATATTCAGTGTGCATACTGCACTAATTAAGTTCTTTCAAAAACCAAAATCAATAACCTTTTGACCTTGACTGTGACCTTTATGCTAAAAATAGCAATTTTAGCTTTACTGGTCATAGACCAGAAGAGCCTTTGCAATAATAATGCGTCCAGCATTCGTCTGTCTGTCTGTCTGTATGTAAACAATTTTTCAGAATGCTACTTCTCCTACAGTTTAGGTCTGATTTCAATATAATTTGGCACAGAAGTAGACTAAACTAAGATACATAATTCTGTGTATCTGTTTTTGATTTCGGTGAATGGTGTTGCCGTTGTCTCTAAAATAGAAATTTTTGTGAAATTCTTTTAAAATGCTACTCCTCCTACAGTTTTGTGTGATTTCAATCTAACCTGGCATGCATGTAGACTACACTAAAATACATTATTTTGTATATCGGTTTTTGATTTCGATAAACAGTGTTGTTATGGCTACTAAAAATAAAAATTTCTGTGAAATTCTTTTAAAATGCTACTCCTCCTACAGTGTTAGAGTGATTTCAATAAAACTTGGCACACAAGCAGACTACACTAAGATACATAATTATCTTTATCGATTTTTGATTTTGATGAATTGTGTTACCGTGGTTACTAAAAATAGAAATTTATGTGAATTTTTTCAAATTGCTACGTCTCATACAGTTTTGGTCTGATTTCAGTATAACTTGGCACACAAGTAGAATACACTAAGATACATAATTCTGAATATCAGGTTTTGAAAACGATTAAAAGTGTTGCTGTTTTTACTAAAAATAGAAATTTCTGTGAAATTCTTTCAAAATGCTACTCCTCCTACAGTTTTGGTCTGATTTCGATATAACTTGGCACACAAGTAGACTACACTAAGGTACATAATTCTGTATAAATCAGTTTTTCACTTCAATGAATGGTGTTGCCATGGTTACTAAAAATAGAAATTTCTGTTCAATACTCTCAAAATGCTAATCCAAATACAGTTTTAGTCCGATTATAATATAATGTGGCATGCAAGTAGACTACACTAAGAACATAAAGAGACTTAATCAAAGATCATTATTCTATTTATTGCTGTTGAAAAGTTTCAATTTCCAACTGCTTAAGTACTTTTCTCTTCCTTTGCTATAAGTACAAACCAGTAGAGCTTCAGTCTCGACAGAGACTTCTGGTTTACTTCAGAATCGGAGGGGTCCTCGTTGCTCGCAACAAGATCGTATCTAGTTATTTTTTTTTTCTGTCCAAATTTTGTGCAGACGATTTCTCAGAGATGCATGGACGGATTTCTTTGATATTTTCAGGGATAATGTATGATGATATGAACCTTATACGTTTTGTTTAATCTTGTAAAAATCACTTCCGGTCGGAAGTTATCGCCCTTTAATCGAATTTTTAGTGACCATTTTGTCGACACAAAAACTCAAAAATGATAAAAGCTAGAGTGTTGTCATTTTCAGCGAATATAAACAACATGTCGTAGTTGTGCACCTATATTTTCAAATCTTCCAGAACTGCCTAGTATGGAAGCACGGTAGGGGTCAAAATTTAGGACACGAATCATGATTGATTTTTTTAGGCATTTTGCATCATATCTTTTAAGATTATTCCACCCTCACAATGTTATAGGTCCAAAGTACAAAAACTGCATTTATTTTCATTTAATATACTTTAAACTTTCCAATTATTGCAAAAAATGTATAGATCATCATATTATTTAAGATGCGAAACATAAATAAATTAATAATAATTAATAAATAATTAATAATAATAATAATTAATAATAATTAATAAACAGAAGTGTATGTCAACATAAAAAAATCGCTCATTTTTTGTAAACAGTATTATTATGAAAAATATGTAAAAACTGGTCAAAATGCATAATTCTTATACAGAGTGTTCCTAAATACTTCCTACTTAAAAGATACCTTTGAATTGTGAATATCAGGGAAACTATTTTACAACAAAGCAAATGCCTGAATGAAGAGACCTTGGAAGGAGTAATTGCCCTTGTCAACATTTTTTTAAAGATTGAATAATTGATTAAATATAGAAAATATGTACTTTTTAAATTCTTTAACTTAACAATATTTAGCATTACACCTATTGTAAAGCATTCTTCCAAGAGATATTGTTCTATTAGGTATGAATTTAAACTAATTACCAGTTTTTGCAAAAACCTATGACATCATAGGAGGGTGGAATTACTTTAAAGTATCATTGTTTTGTTAAAACATACTGAGCAATATTTGTGCAGAATGACAAGATCTTCAATATGATATCAAGAAAAAACTGCCGACTCATCAGATTAGGAAATGAAAGGGGCCAAAAGTCTTTATTCAATAACTCTTCAACAGTCAATATTTTATTATACATTATTGAAGCAAATATGTTTATCTCAACGTTCTACAACTGTATATTATGATTTTTAGGTCATATATTAAATAATAAGGGGCAACAAGGGGCCAAAATGCTAAATCTTTGACGCTTTTTATCTCAAAAGTGGGAAATATTTTGATAAGTAATATTGAACAAAAGATGTTCAAAATCATGTTCTGAACAATCCTTCAACAACCCTTCATTTTTCGCTAAACGTCTCTATTAAGGAGTTGAAGGGCTGGCCCCTAAATATTTCTTTTGAAAATAACTCGAAAACGAAACAGAATCTTTGAATTGTTTTTGAACAAAAAGTGTTGAAAATCATAAGAGGTTTAAAGTAAAATCTAGAAAAAGGGCTGGGCACTCAAATTAAGGGCCGAGAGGGTCCAAAAATCTTTAATCGATACCTCTTTAGCAAGCAATATTTTGATATACATTACTGAAGCAAAAATGTTCATCTCAACAATCTATATATTATTATTTTCATGTTGTATGGTACATAATTAGGGGCCATAAGGGGCAAAAATGCTAAATCTTTGATGCTCTATATCTCAAAAGTGGGAAATATTTTGATAAGTAATATTGAACAAAAGATGTTCAAAATAATGTTCTGAACAAAATGCAACCTTCCATTTTTCGCTAAAAGTACCCCTTAAGGAGTTGAAGGGTTGGCCCCTAAATGATCCTTTTGCTAATAACTCGAAAACGAAAAAGAATCTCTGAATAGTTGTTGAACAAAAATTGTTCAAAATCCAAAGAGGTTTAAGATAAAATCAAGAAAAAGGGGCTGGACACTCAAATTACGGGCCAAGAGGGGCCAAAAGTCTTCAATCGATAACTCTTTAGCAGTCAATATTTTGTAATACATTACTGAAGCAAAGATGTAAATCTCAACAATCTACAACTATATATTATGATTTTCATGTCGTATAGTACATAATTAGGGGCCACAAGGGGCCAGAATGCTAAATCTTTGAGGTTTTATATCTCAAAATGGATAATATTTTGATAAGTAATGTTGAGCAAAAGATGTTCAAAATCATGTTCTGAACAGTATACAGCTTTTTATTTTTTGCTAAACGTCCCCATTAAGGAGTTGTTGGGTTGACCCCCTATATATTTCTTTTGCAAATAACTCAAAAAGGAAAAACAATCTCTGAATAGTTGTTGCATAAAAAGTTATTAAAATCCTTAAACCTTTAAGATGATATGAATAAAAAGGACTGATTCCTAAAATGAGCCGTGAGGGGCCAAAAGCCTATTTTTTAAAAGTCGTTAATGTTTAATGTCTTTTTACAGATATTGGAAAATCATTATTTTAGAATGAAAATCGCAATCAAAATCTCATCTCATCTCATCAAGAATCTGACGGAAGACCCACTCGTTGCTCGCAACGAGATCCTATCTAGTTATTTTTTTTTTTTTTCTTACCGATTTTGTAGACGATTTCTCGAGAACACCTCGGCAGTTTTTCATGAAACTTTCAGCAATGATAGGAAACTACTTGAACTTCATGCTTTGTTTTTAATTTTGCCGTCATCACTTCCGGTCGTGAGATATGGCCATTTTTCTGTTTTTAAAGTGTCATTTTGTCCGAGAGTGTTCTCGAAAACGGTTGGAGACTGGGTCCTGAAACTTTCAGGGATGATAGATTATGACTCTTAGATTTGAGAAGGATATATGGTTTTTGTTGCTGTCACGTCCGTCTCCACCGGAAGTAGTTTAATTATGCAAAATTTTATTTTTCTCTTTTTTAAGTGTTTCTTACGGAGGCAAATAGAGTGTCTCGAGTAATATTATGTCCACCGGAGGTTATTTTTTCCAAACCGGAAGTAGTCCAGAAAATGAGCATTTTTCCTCGAAATTATGAGGGATGATTCCTTCACTCTCAGAAAAGAGTTATAGGTCATTTTCAGTACTTACGGTCACACCGGAAGTGAATTATAAAGACAGGAAGTTGTTTGAAATTGAAAGGTTTCACTCTTAAATGTGTTCTCATGTATTTTGAATAATTTATCTGAACACTTTTTAGCTCACCTGAGCCGAAGGCTCAAGTGAGCTTTTCTGATCACATTTTGTCCGTCATCCGTCCGTC